TAAAATGATATATTAAAATGATATATCATTTTTTAATCCAAAATTATTATAGTAATTAAAAGTAAGCGTTTTGATTCAGAACATAGCGCGATAAAATGATACTTCTTGAAACGATATATTTGAAGCATTAATCAATATTGTCGTGCTGCCACAATAACATCATCAAATATATATTAAATGTTTGCATGATATGGATCAGCATCTCTGTCTATCTGGGAATTGTCTTTGTTTATTCACTTCGATACTCGTATTGATATTTTTTATGACTCAGTCGGAGAGATTCAATGAATAAACTTTGAGTACTTACCGATATTTCCACAGGCCGGAATATCGCAGTATTCGCGCTGCCTCGTTGGGTCTGCGAAGCACCACGGTCTCGATTCCTTCTCGGGATTAGGATTTCTGCAGAAGTTGTGCGTTTTCAGTTTCTCTCGGACTTGCTCGTTAACAATCTGTAATAACGCACATTCGTGCGATTTAATCCACTGGATTGCGTATCTTCAGACACCTATAAAGAGCGGAACTCACATTCACGCGCAGTTGATGCGCGATTCTCTGGTCGGCCCAAGGGAGACATTCGTTTCCTGATAGCGTTACGTTGGCTTTGCCGGTGTATTGATTTCCTTTCCCGTAAACGCAGCCTGGAAAAGTAAATATTGTTAAACTCGCAAAATTGTCTTTCCGCATTTGGAATATTTATATCGTAATGCTCTGCGTAGAAAATTGGGTTATTCCGCGTCAGAGAGAGGCGAACATATTAAATCGAATTAAATAATGCGCTGTAAAGTCTCGTATAAATTATCTCTGATAATTTGTTTTATACTCTCAATTATAAATATGTAATTATAATGGGTACCGGTGAGTCGTTATTATTAAAATAAATGCAAAATTCTGTATAATTTACTTCAGACCGCGTAATCACGCACTGAAGCAATACTTTATCTGCTACACGCAGAAAAATACATACTGCATTCTAATAAATGTTACTTGTTTCAAATATTTCACTGGTTTATATATCCGCAAACATACCATAAGCTCATCATGAGCATCAAATTTATTCAAAATACGTTCTAAATCTTCGTAAGTTTAGCGTTTCAATTAAAAATATTGAAAATAACACTAAAATTCGGTTACTACACTCAAATAGTGTAGAAATATTCCACGAATGTCCTATGAATATTCTTTACGAATGTTTGCACATTCTATGAATATACTAAAAACACCGTTACATATTCATAGATATATATATTATATCTGAATGACCAACTATAAATGTTCTATGTATAGAATATTTATAAAATGTAGATTAAATATTAAATTTTGCTTTTACAATTATGAGAATAATTTTTGAGTAATTTATTTCCCGTAGATAAGTTCCATTGCTATACTAAAATAAATGCGTATTACTATTTTGAATGTTTACCAAATTTTTCAGAAATGCATTGCATATGCGCAGTAAATAAATTTTACGAATGTTCTAAAAATGTCCTTTCCTACTATAAATATACGAATTTCTATCTAAAATATTGCTCATATATCCATAGAAAATCCGATTTGATTCTTCTGTAATTAAGAATGTTTTCACAAAAATATTCATAGAATATTATATTATGTACTATCTGGAGTGAATCAACTTTCTCTTCAATAAAGTTCTATAACATTCTTATGAAGAAAATCAATTGTTTCTTTGAGTACACGACATGAGCTTTTCTGAGATTTCTGTTCAATACTTTTTTAAATTATTATTTATTAAAGATAATCATTACAATAAAAGAAGGAAACTGAAAGTAAACTGAGTAATCGCTTGTCTTAGCAGTAGAATGATATTTTTCTCTGTGTGCAACGGATTTGAACACTTGGCAATTTTTTAACGTTACCGATGTCGTCGTAAGGTTTCTTGCAGACAAAAGAATGCCCTCTCGAGCTGGTCTCGCAGTCCTCCGTATCCCAGAAGAAATAATCCGCGACGCACGTCGACTCGGCTAGTTCGTGACATGGAAATTTCCGTTTCATTACAATGCAAAGGGGACGAGAGCCCAACGTCGGTGGCTTCGTATCGTTCATCCAGCCAGGCCACCATTTTGTAAATCTAACAAAACGTTTAACATAAAATTTAAGATTATGAGGAACCATCTCCTTGGAATTCATTAATTTTTTATGAGATAGAAATATATTTTGCGCTCAGAGAAGACTCGCAGTCGGGGTTCGGTGAAATGAAGTTTATGCGCTCGGATTCTCCAAGAGAGAGAGAAAGATAGAGAAAGGGAAGAGGGGAAAATAGATAAAGAGAAACGAGAGCAGCAAGGAATAATGGAATACTTAATCCGTTTAAAATCAAAACTTAATTGAAACTTTCGTGTCGTCAGTATTGTACTTGAACTTGGCGTGAGAAGAGTCCTCCCAGAGCCACAGAGGGACGTTCATAGTGGTGAAGCCTAGGCCGGAAGTTATGATCGAGTTAACTTCCGGATACGACTGCGACAGCCACTCCGACACGAAGTTGTTTTCCGCCTGGTTGGTGATGTCGATGAGCCGTGCGTTCCTTCGCTTGCAATAATCCGATGCCTCGGCGTGGGTCGGCCCTCTGTCAGGCCCGGCCAAATGGTAGCATTGTCCTTCATGCGGTATCTCGTCCTTGCGACAATGCGCGATACGATTCGAGACGCATCGTACGCCGATCGCGTCCCTGTCCACTCGGCACTGCCGATTGTGCGTGAATCTAGAATGGCACAATTATCATCACGGTGCATACATCAGCGCGAGCATCTTCGCTCACTGCGATCTGCTTCGCCCAGATGGACTTTGATAATAATCTCAGCGGGAGACAGTCGATTATAGAAACGATCCTTTTACAATTACACTGATGAAGCTAATATATTTCATTGAATTAATCGTTAAATTTGTATCAGACAATAACGTAAATTTCTTGTTATATCGATGTAACAACGGATTTACTAAAAGTTGCTCAGAATTTCATATTACATTTCACATGACATATTGTTATGAGTAAATTTTGATCATTATTTTCATATTTCTTTAATATTCCTTTTTCGTCGTTCTCTATGTAATAAATATGAATGCAGTATGAACCATTCATTTTACCATTTTTGCCAAAAATTCAGTTACATAGATTTTTCTTATGTAATTCTATCGAATTTTTTAAGTAGAGATATCACACAATTTAACTGGAAAATTTGAATCCGATTTGAATAACAATCCGAGTGTCATAAGACAAATTTCACTATGACACTATTGATACTAAAATCTTTAATCTTAGATTTTTACTTCTCAAACAAATCTCTACCCACAGTGAAAGAAACGTTTATCAGTTTCTGACAGCGTGTGTCTTACTTGCACGATTGGAATCTGGTCTCGTTCCCCAGACACGTTACGGTGTTCGCCGCGATCCAAGTTGGCACTCCGTTGCGATTGTTTCTGCCTTGCCAAGCCATTTCGGCGCCTCTATAGTAAACAAAAGACTCCGTATAATTTGTCATATCGCGCTTTACCACTACTACTTTACTACTTCTTTACTACTGCTTTACTACTTCGCTTCTATTCCGCCGTGATTCAAAATATGTAGTGCAAGTGAAGTTTGACACGTAATAGACGAATCTCAATGTGTGTAAAATATCCTTTCAGATCAATTCCAGTATATTAAAACACAGTAATAAATTAATGACTTCTATATTTTCCCGTATAATTAAATATTGATTATCATATACAATAATTTATATATTACGTCTGAAACGACTGCATAATGTACAATAACGAAGCTACAAATGTAGAAAAAAGAAATTCTACGCAAATTTCAAGATATAATAATTTTTCATTTGACGTACTTGATGTAACCGAGTTGTCTGCACACTACATTAGCTTCTTTCAATGTCCAACTATTTCTGGAGTCGCACACAATGCCCCAACCTGGTAACACTCCTTGGACCTCAACATAACCACCATGAGGTCCGGCACCGCCTCTCAAGCGAATCATCTGTTAACGTAAGTTAAGGTGACAACATTGTTGTTTTATTACAATTAAAGCTAGATTTTCCGTCTCATCTTTGTCTCACCTGGCCAGATATGGGTGTCGGCAAAGCAGTCTTTTGCGAATGAGTCAATGGTCGCACTGACGGCACGTAATAGACTGGGAAAGGTGGTTCATCTGCAAGAAGAAGAAAAAATAATACGAACATGTTATTAAAATCACTAAGTAAAATCACTTGTTACTAAATCACTAGATTATTTGGGAAATAGTGCTGGATAATTTTTCATTGATATCGCATGGAAATGTAAATATTTCTGCACGTTGTTGCTTCTGCAAAATGTTGCAGAAACACGCAATCGAGATACGTCAACATTTAGTAGACAAATGATAGATTTGTTATTTGATAGAGTAGCTGCATGCACAATTTTTTTTAGTAATGCATGATTTTTTCTCCATCGTTAATTATGATACATGAAATCAAATCAAGCATCTGTAGAACATTATATATCATATTTATCATACTTATATCATATTTATTTATATTTATAGATAGTTGTATTTTTAAATATTCCCCCGCGAAAGCTTTATCTATGACAAGAAGCTTCGATTCATTATTACTTTGCGGCGCGACGATACACAAGAAGCTAATTGCTAAGAGACTATCTAAGAAAGATCAACTTACCCAATATACATTGACAACTGCACAGACTCTTAGCCGTAGGTTGTGTATGGAGTTTTCAGCTTACCTTCTTTAAATGGCGCTGCTTCGATATTAAAAAGTTCGACGTCAGTTTTCTTCGGACTGATTCTCATAATGACCGATGGAGCCGTGGTGGTCTCAGTTTTATTTTCCAAGACTATTTTGGGCTTCCACTCGTTCTTCTCGTCCAGCACGTCCACATAATCCGTCTCGTGTTCGGAAATGACATCCAGAAATTCCGGAGATACGTCACTTGGCTTCGTATCGTTCGAAGAATCATCTTGTTCAATCGAAACAGTGGGTGAACTGAACCTGCTCTCTCTGTGAAAACCAAATTGTTCTTCTCCTCTCGTAGTATCCGTAAGATCTTTCACTCTTCTTGACGGTGCAGATGGTTTATTTGGCGGTCTTACAGTCGTCGTTCTCGTCGTTGTAATGTTGGAGGACGCATAATCGTCAGCAGTGCCTGTTAAAAAGGAAACCATTAGACAAATATTCGTAAACGTTGCTGTATGACGACAGGAAAATCGTTACGATCAAATGAGATATTGCTGGAATAGTAATTAGGATAGCAATTAGGTTGAAGCATACTATTCAAAGTGTTTTTCCGGCCAAACTTGACCGAATGCTGGACCTCTGGGCGTGTTTGATTACTCCCGATTTCTTTCGTGATGAAGTGACCTTTTACGCCATTTGTATTAACATATATCCCGTCTGGATAAAATTTTGTTTTCGAATGCTGAGTCTCATTCTTCGAATCTGCGAAAAATTACGAAAGTTATCGTTACAAAACATAAAATACACGTTCAACAAAATGACCTTACAGTTACAGCGAAAATATCTATATATAGAAATTAGCTAAGATAGATAAATGACTAACAATATCTTACGATATCGCATATGTTTTGCATTTAATCAATGTAAATAGAACGAGAATTTATCTGTAAAACTTAGCAAGAAAATCTCTCTGTGGCGCCCATTCTGATTAAAACTAGATTAATAATTGATAATCAGACCTAAATTTATTAGAATACTGCTGCTGTAAATTCTACACACCAGCAGTTACAAAAACAACGATCAATTTTAACTGTGACATTTAGAATTCTATCATGACTAACAAAATATTTTTTTGAGTGCACATTAACTCTACTTAAATTATACCTTATTATAAAAAGTTAACAAGTACTCTTGATTGCAATTTAATATTCATATATATACTGTGAAGTAATGAATAATCCAAACGTTATACAGAATGAAGTAACTGGAACCACTTAGCAAGGAACTATTTCATTTTTTTGTACGGAATGTTACATCCAAAATAGGACAAATCAGATAGAAGTTATTTAAACATCATATCGCCTAGCATAATTAAATTCATTTCAATATTATCTACTTCTGTTATAGAATAAAAATTGATTTCCATTTATAAAGAATTGAAGGTCATCCTAAAATCTTAAAATCTTAAAAAATATAAGCGACAAAATTTTTGGATAATGCATTGCGTTGCCTCTTTCGAATCATGTAATATTCACATGGATCAATTTTCGCTGAAATCAATATTTACGGTGTTATCAAAGTGATCCCAGTTATGTTGCTTTATCCTATAAATCCATCTACAGACCTGAACCTACTTGACCCTTCGAACTTAAAAAGATATTTGTCCTCGATGCCCACTGTGCCATTTTCGCGTCGTTCTCTCTATCAACCGTGCTTTGCTGATAAACGCCACTTCCTGACTGCCATTGATGGAGCTTATCCTCCTGAGCGTCTACGAAACATTAAGCTTTCACTCATATTTAATGATTGACATGAAATTTGACGTTAAAAACATTCACGTAATTATAGAGTGTTTAAATTAAAAATTTAAAAATGCGCAAACTTTATTTTGCGCTTATACCCAATTTCTAATTACATTTAGTCACCTAATTTTTCTTTGTAATTTATTTATTATATTTAATTACTACTGAATGTACTGCGTAATATGTTCAATCTCTCATTATTTGTTCGCAAAATACGTCAATGTGCGACTTAATTTCCACATGCGTAAGATTAAGTTGCATGCATCGCATTATCACGAAAGAGAACCATTATCCTTGCTAACAATTTATGCTGTTTGTTAAATGATATCATGCTGCGCTAATACGATAAGCCTTGTGTACAACTTCTCGCGAAGTTAATTCATGCGGCGTGCAAATATTTGCCATTAGATTTTGCAACAGGAAATTGATCGCCATAAAGTGTATCGTTAATTTCGTGCGTTACAATCATTGTCACAATGTTCCTTAAAAATGATGCGATCCGCATAAATGCGTTCTTAAATTCGCAAATGCATTCTGTGGAAGCATTAAGATAGTGATGTTTATAACGTATACAGCATAAACATTTGTTTACAATTGTGATTCTTTTTTGTAACTGTAAATTTACAGAGAGAAAACTTTATCAAATGTAAAATGTAATCTTTTCTAATAAAAGTTTCTCATGCTAACTTACAAATATTGTTAACACGAAATCTTTACGTTCAAACGAAGTATCTTGAGAAAATAATTCAAATATAACTATTGCAAGAAAACCTTCTATTGTTTGCTTCCACATTTACAGTATCTATATACAATTCAATTAATAAACATTTTTCCAATATGTTTACAATAATTATTGCGACTTTCTTAATTATATTTAAATTATGTTTAGTTACGTTTACATATCATTTTTCAATATTAAACTGTTAAATTATGCAACGCCGAATGCACCTGGCGAATTTAAAAACGCACTCTATGATACATATGTAATGTATAAACAAATGTATTTCTATTATTTTTATTTTTCTCTCTGCATTTTTTTTCTTTTTGTATGTATATACAAATAACTACTTATCTTATTTTTCTGTTATTTTTTTGCGTGACCACTGTCTATATTAATATTTTACACTTGTACTCTCTTAAAGTGGGGATCACAGTAAAAATATTTCTGACTAAATCAGTAAAAAGGCTATTTCATCGATGATCAGTAAATATTCACTGATATTTAGTGAAAACGCTCCTACCTAACTGTTCCGTAATTCTCACCGATTTTAATCAAAATGTGTAATGCAACAAATTCATTATACGTTATACCAAGTCTAACTTTCTGCATTTCTGACGATATAATTAACGGCCTCCATGCACCTTGCGTGCAATAACATTGTCTTTGTTCGTAAAGTGCAGTAATAATGGGAATAGTTGCTACTATTAACTGATCCTTTCAGTGAAACTTTACTTGATTGCAGTGCTATACTCATAACTGAATCACCTGTTACAAGTGTAGCATTTCAATAAAGAACACACTGATTGTACTTTTGATAATACGTTGAATAACTGAATCACCAGTTACAAATATAGCATTTCAGTAAAGAACACTGACTTAAGAGGATATGTTGCTCTAAAAGGGTTTTTATCCTAAAGCATAATATGTATGTAAATCAGTATTCTCTACTGTATTCTATCATATCTACTCTATTCTACTGTATTCTATCATATCATTCTCTACTCTATTCTATCATATTTTATAAGCACAATTTTTATTTTACCTTGATCCCATGGCCGCGTCAAAGTGTCCGTTTGTACTTGTCCTCGATCTTGTTGACCGCGCCACGTGCTCGGCTGAGAACCAGATTCATCGGGTCGACTCCAGGCGGTATTTCCTTGTCCCGGCCAAGGAGTTGTCGGTCCATCTCGCCGCGGGCCGTGGCGGGTCTGATTCCAATTCTCGGCAAACTGATCGCCACTATTTAGGAAAACATTCCCAGCGGATGGAGAAGTGCGATTGAAGCCGGGAGGGTGAGATCCAGGACTGGTCCTGTCGTAATCTCTTCTGCTCGACGAGAAGTCATAACCGCTTCCCCGATTCGCCGGCAAATTTCCGTCAGCACCGAACTTGGTTCTGTCACGTGCGTTGTCGTGATACCGAATGTCATCCTCCTCGTGTTTCCCGGCCGGGAAGTACACTGGAAATTGTCTCTGATCCGTTTCGCTCGGCGCCACTGTGTGGTCGAAGTGGTGATAATCGTGAGGATGAGGCGGATGATGTTGGCTATCAGAAGGCCAGCGACCAATCTGCGGGATATATTCTCCGTAGACACCACGATCGTAGCTCCCATCAGTGCTACCAGAAACGCTGCCTGAGTCCCAACTCGGATTCACCGGAGGACGTGGCGGTGGCACGTGGCTGTGATGATGATGGTGATAATGACGACTAGGAGAACCGTAGTCATGGCCATACCGGTCACTTGGTGGATATCTATGTCCAGCTGGCCACCACTGTCCTGGACGAGGATTGAAATGACGGGTACCATGTGGATTCCGATCGGCGCTCGGATTTTCCGTCCATTGCCCGTCATAACGATCATGGTATCCGTAATCGGCAGGTCGTCCGAAATTCCCGCCACTTGGCTGCCAGCCTGGACGATATGGACCGTAATCTCTGTACTGGCTATCTTCGTGTACGCTACCGTAACGATCGTAGTGATTAGCGGCGTGTTCATGACGGTCATAAGGCGGCCTTGCGGTTGTCCACGACGGCACCCAACGTGGATCCGGGGTTGTCGTGAATGGCCTCCATGTCGGTCTAAACGTCGTCGTCGTCGTCGTCGACCATGGCCATGACCTATGACCGCGAGAGCCACTTGTGTGATTATATAGACTCGAATTCGACCATGTCGACCATCCACCGGATGGTAGCCTGGTGTTACTCGTTGTTCTGTGCGCTGCGTCAGCGGGTTTCTCTGCACAGAAAAAAAGGAGATTCTTGCTTGGAAATGTCTTTCTTTCCTTTTTGATGTGTTAATTTTCAGATGACATTACATGGCGTTAAACAAAGATAAATTACTCGCATCAATACATCTTATATATGATTCAACAAAGAAATATATATTCTTATTACTCAAAAATAATTTTTATCAATAAAAAGCACAAAATATTGAATTGAGAATATGATGTTTTCAAATATCGGAAGAAAATGTCATTATCACTAAAATGATTATATTGTACTTATTATGGCACTACTATAATATTAAAATAAAATTACAACATTTTGTTGAAATCCAAGACTGCAGAATTCTTCTAACAAAATTATATATATATATATATATATATATATATATATATATA